TGTAATTACTTATATAAATTAATCAATAAAGATATGAGCAAGGCCTCACCTTAATACCAAAAAAAAAAAAAAAAATTAAATTGATTTAAACAGCCAATCATATGAATAACTGCCTATAAGCACAGCCGAGGCATGAATAGAGTTTGGAACCAGATTTGTTTTTTAAATCTGAATTTATTTAATTCAAATGTGAAGCTTTGAATTTAATACGGTTTTAATATATTTGGTTGCTTTGGTTTAGCCAGTTTTATTATATCTGATTTTATAGTTATAAATATCATATATTATGCAACAAATTAGATGTTTACAGTACCTCATTGTACTTTTAATTAACCTCATAGTACTTTATTATACTTTTATAATTTCTCATAACCCCAATTAACTGAATTTTAACTTATTGTATTGTATAAATCCGAATATCTTCGGTTTTATTAAAACCGGTCTTTGTATTAAATAAATTTTATATTCAAATTCAAATTCGAATCAAATAAAATCAGGTTTAAAATCGAAGATTGAATATGGTTCTAAACTTTAGGCATGAAAGTGGGAGAATTAAATGCAAGCGCAACTAACTATCAATGGTATTAGTATCTGGTATGGTGCCATTATGCCTGGCATAGGCACTTGCAAATGTCTACTTTGTACCTTCGTGGGCATAGTACAAAGGTGCCAGCCTAGAATTGGCTGGTACTTTTTGCTCATAGGCACTGGCATGGCACAAGGCACTAATGCCTGGCATAGTGCCCCATGTGCTAGTATAGGCATTTGCAGAACCCTACTAACAAGGTCTTCTAACTTACGTGTATATTGGTGTGACAAGTCGCTTTTGGGCACACTAGATGTAGCCAGAAGATGTTGGGCTTGCAATTTTTTTATATTGTCATTATTTATTCTGTTCAAGTTTGTTTAAATAAAGTATTATATTTGAGCTCCGGCAAGACTGTCAAAGAGTTAAAAAAAAAATAAAAAATAAAAATAAAATTATTAAATAAATCTTTAAAAATTTATAACTTTTGATCCACAATCCAATTTTGATTATTTATACTAAAATATTTCTCTCAGTAAGAGGAGTTTAATGAATTCAAAATTATCAAAATCTAAACTCGTGATTACAAGATTGGTAAAGATTTATATTGTATCAATTATATAATATAAATCTTTACTAATCATGTGATTGGATTTTAATAATTTTTGATTCATTAAAATCCTCTTACTAAGAGAATTATAAATTTTTAAAAATTTATATAATAATTTTTTATAATTAAAAAATAGCAATTTGTAATATTACAGTTATCCTTCTCTATAATCATACTATTTGTTTTACTTAAAAAAGATGTGATTATATAGAGTTTTTTTAATAAATACATATTGCCAATAATTTTTCAAAAATAGTGCTTATAAAGAGGTGTGATTATATAGGAAGTGACTGTAGAGGAGAAGGACTGTATAACTTTTTTTACTATATAATAATTTATTTGAAATTCTGCATATAATTTTTTAAATAACTTCACCAAATCACTTGTGTAATAGCACAAAAAAATACTTAGTTTTGATTGGTTAATCTTATAAATACTAAAAAAAATCAATTTTTTATTAAATTTTTTTTAAAAAATTGAACTTTAAAATTTTTTTAAACAATATCAAAATCAAAAACTAGTAAAATTTTTTTACAAATATTTTTATAAATATACTATATATTAATATATAAAAATTTAAATTTAAATTATAAGATTTAATTTTAAGTATATCATGTTCATGTATCAGAAGTGACAAGATTACCAATTTTAAAAAGTAGGTTTTTGGTTTTACTAAATCATACAATTACTATCTCAACAACGAGATAAATAATTAATATTAGTATTTTAAATAAAAATATTTAGCATTCCAAAAATATTATTCTATTTTGAATTTAAATCTTTAACTTTATTTTAACACTTAACATAGAAACCTAACTCTAAATTTTATAATAAATCTATTAAAAAATACATGTGATGTTAAATCACAGATATGATTTAGTGCTAATGTATTAATAATCTATAAATATATTTTTCTTTTGCAATATAGATAACACTATTTTATATAAATTAATTTAATTAATAATATATATATTTATAATGCATAGCAATCATGTTTTCTATATTATTAAGAAGATTTTTTTTTTTCTAAGATCATTAAATATTGATTGTTGTTTATAAATAGCATTTGAAAACAAAAATATTTAAGTAATAAGAAAATAAATATTATATCTTATTTATTATTTACTGTATATAATAAATTGCTAACTTGTGATTTTGTAGATAAGAAAAATTTTATAAGTAGTGTTACTATAATGTAGAAAGTTATAAATTAGAAGAAATTTAATAATATAACCATTTTTAAAAATTGCTAGCATGTATTTTAGCATGATAATTTTTGATTTATTGGTCATTTTGAATAATTTTATTACCAAAATAATCATTACAATAATTCTAACAAACCAAAAATTAATTAAATTTATTATATACTCATATTATTAAATATTTATATCACTTTAAATAAAATTAAATGGGTTAAACTCATGAGATTTTACTTAAAGCAATGTGAATCTGTAATGGTATTATTAATTTTAACAGTTTTAAACTTGTTGAAATCATTATATCAAGATATTATATTAGTATAAATGGCTGGTGAATCAAAAGTTATACACTTTTGAAGATAAATGTAATCCAAAGATTTATCATATGTTTATAAAATATAGGTTTAAAAAAAGCAGATCACCTGTATACAAACAATAATGGCACAAAAAAATTCTACAAAAAAAAAAAAGGACTTTATGATTTTATAAAATTCAAATTATTAGAATAATTTACATTCTGGAAAATACAAACTATAAAATAAATCCTCTTAACTTCCACAAAGAGATAGCCAACTGCTTAGTGTGTCTGTGAGTTATCATTCCCAACATTGGATTTTCATTTTTAGGAATTTTCAAAAATCCTTTAAATCTTCCAACACCTCTGGTACCCCAAATACATTGAACATTATAAAATGGCACATTTTGTGTACACATTTTGTTGTTTTTTCCAAGAAAAGTTACAGGATATATTGTCCCAAATGGTTTTAACGGTATTTGTGAAAATGTTACTTGAGATTGTTGCTTCTGTTTTATTTGTGAATTTATTTCCTCCTCAGATGATATTGATAAGTTTTTTTCATTATTATCATTCTTTTTTCCCCCATTATTATCATACAAAATATCATGATTCAAATGATCAAGGACAAATACACACTGTAACCCATTTATAACATTTTCATTATCTATATAAAACTTTCGATTTCCATTCTCATTATCTTTATCATTTAAACTCATATTTTTAATCTTACATGAAAAAGGAATTGAGCCATTATCGATATTCATCGTTAATTTAGGTGAGGTACCATCAAGAACATGTAATAAAACTTGATCACGTTTGGCAGGAAACGATTTTGTAGCCACAGAATTAAAAAACCTTTGTAACCTATCAGTAGCTCGCATAACTAAAATATTCCAAACATGTTC